GCCTAGAAGCTCTGACTGGACACTCTAGTGATTCCCAAACTGCTCGCCAATACAGAACACGCCATCAGTTGGCGCCGTCTGTGGGAACGATTGTTTTCGATTCTTGTTATCAGTTGGCGCCATCAGTGGGAACGATTGTTTTCGATTCTTGTTAAAATTCTACTGATCCATTCAATAATTAAAGGTCTTTACGCGTAACATTAGCAAAAATCAAGCGAATCCTTTACATTTATAGAGCATTCCCATGAATCCTTAGCCAAACCTAAAAGTCAATTTGCCAATGGCAGATCCTCCTCCGAACAACGAACTCGAGGCCCTGCGACAAGCCAACAATCGCCTCCTCCGGCAAAACAAAGATCTATTAAATCTCATTCATGCCCAGCATCCACATGGGGCACAACTAGCTCAGGACGAATCCCCGAGAAGAGAACATCTCCATCAGAATCCCTTAAGGGAAATCACTGAAGAAAATGATCATAGTTATTTGGTTGACAATGTTTACCATCGAGCTTAGGAAAGTGGGGAAGAAGAACAGGTTCAGAGTCAAAACAAAGGAGTTCCTACAAAGGGGCTCTTTACAGATCCTCTCCAGTAAGATGGGAGTGACCAATTATGGGAGCAACGTTTCAGAGAAATCCAATAAGAGCTAATCCACATGAAGGAGGCGATAAAGAGCAAAACTCCGATGATCATGGATGTTTTGGTTTGACAAACAGAGTCTCCATTCACCTCCAAGGTGTTACATTTTCCTCTTTCCCAAAAATTTAGGATGCTCTAAATTGAGATGTTTAAGGGGACAAAGGATCCCATGGATCACCTCAACACCTATAAAAAATCAAATTGAACTGCATGGATGCCACGATCCAATGTGTTGTGGAGATTTTGCTATCATATTGAAGGGCTCAGGTTTGGTTTGGTTCAATAGGTTGGCTCCGGCGTCAATTTCTTTTTTTAGAGAGCTGTCCATCTCTCTCGTGTCCCACTTCATAGGAGCTCGAATTGAGCTACCCACCCCCAGCACCACAACAACCAATTCCACCTTAGCACCAACAACCCATGAGAGAAATTATGGTTATCTTGGGAGGATTCCTCAGGGGCGGGGAGACTAGCTCAGCAAGAAAAGCCACATGAGGAGGGCTCGAGCTGAAGACGTGTTGGAAATCTAGTCCGTGTCTAAGTCACCTCGGTTATGCATGGACATCACCTTCTCGGATTCAGATCTAGAAGGCTGCTAGCATCCTCACGACGACCACTCGACTGATATCATCTTTGCATCAGCCTTTGACAAGATGGACATTGGCGGAGACCAAGCTCGAGTCACTTAGAACCCATTTACTCGGATTCTCAGGAAAAAGAATGCTCCCCCTAGAATCCATTCATTCTCCTAGCCAGTCAACAACCACTGTACGTTTCTTGATCGTGGAGGCTCCTTCAGCCTACAATATTCTCTTGGGGATACCTTCTGTTAATGCTATGCAAGCTATTCCCTCAAATTATCATCTGGTAATGAAGTTCCTGATAGAGAACGGTGTGGAATGGTTCGAGAAAACCAACGCGTAGCAAGGGAATGCTATGTGGCATCGATTAAGCAGAAGGAGGTTGAAATTATACAATTGGATGAGCTCAAATCTTTCACTTGAGCTCGGAGATCGTCATTTGCAAAGGATAGCTCGACAACCTTGAGCTCAAAAGCCTTGAGAGATGCCTTGGTTTCTCCTATAGCTGTTTTGTGGGCTCGAACTTTGCTCTGCAAAAGAAGAACAAAAATAAAAGCCAAGTTAGAGGACAAAAAACAATGCTGAGCTTAATAAATGAATTTTAGTTGAAGGAAAAAGTCAGAGACTTATTGAGGTTGCCCCAAACAAGCTGTGGCAGCTGAGGTGGAAAAGGGCATCAAAGAGGCCCCGTGAATGTCAACCTCGGGAATGACTGAAAGGAGGACATTGGCAGCCAAGTTCACGTCCCTGATGAGAGAACGTCCCCTTGGCCATCCTAGCTAAAGAGCTCCTAGGTTTGCCGAGAAGTGATTTAGAGGATGTTCCCTCAGCGGACTTCGTTAGAGGGGGATCTCAAAGAGATGGGGCTATCGCCTCTGAAGCCTCGACCCCTTCTTTTGACTTGAGGGGGTCTTGACGACCTTTGCACGAGGCTTCTTAAGCTCGGAAATAGGGGAAGAAATTGAAGGGACCTCCACGACAGACTGGGGGGAGCTGAAGTCTTTTTTGGAGAATCCTTCTTGGAAGCCTTTAGAGGACGCTTTGGATCGTCGCCTAATCCGACCTTGGCCTTCCTCTTTTTGGCAGCTATAGGCACTTAAACGTCTTCTCTCATCTTAGCTAGCTTAGCCTTCACAGCATTAGGGGCCATGACACTTAGAGCTGGATAGAAAATCAATTAGCCAAGGAATCAACATAATAAAAGTAAACCCAATGCACATGGCAAATGTCTTACTAGCAAAGACTTTGCTGTTGAGTGCAGACTGGGGTAAGACAGCTTCACCTCTCGTCTCTAAAGGTCCAAAACCGTATCTTGCAAGGACCGAAGGTGTGAGAAGATCGGTATATTTCTCGGGTTGGCACTCCTTGAGGTCTTTAAGAAGAAGCCTCTTGCCAGTGTCAAGTTCAAGATGAATACCTAAAACAATAAAAGAAGAGATCAGCAATTGTAGGAAACAAGATAAGGAGAAACTCAAACCAAAGCATCTCAGTGCGGGTTACCCAAATTGTCTGGGCTTGACCAAGCCTGAGGTACAAGAGTGTGTAAGAGGTGGCCCTCGGGTTGAACTCTCACTCCTTGTCAGACACAAAGAAGAAGTGGTTTTTTCAACCTTTGTGGGAGCTCTGAAGGTCGGTGATCAAATGTTGGGTTTTCACTCGTTTCGCGATATAAAGAAAGCCATCAGTAGGGGAGAACTTAACATTGAAGAAATGCATCAGTAGAGGAACCAAAGGGGGTAGTTAAATCGTTCTTCTTAAAGAAGACCATGAGGCTTATCATGATACCTCAGAAGTTGGGAGAAAGCTTAGCTGGGCAGACGTTGAAGTGTTGAAGAACAGACTTCAAGAAATGTTGAAGGGAACCTGAGACCGTTCTCGAAAGTACAGGAAGCACAGTGTCATATCGGTTATACACACTGGGACTCTAGATACGCATGCCCTTAGAAAAGCCAAATTTAGTAGAAAGAGCACTCAAAACAGGAGAGGTGGCTTTATTGGGTCTTGAGGTATCTGAGGCACTAGGATTGGCCTCATCACCCTCGGCAGCGCTGGAGGTCTCAGCTACGCCCTTCCTAGATTGCCTCTTTCGAGTTTTCTTAGGTCTCGTAGGTGCCCCTGGAAAAAGCTAGGGATCGTCGACCCTAGTACCCTTGACATCAACCCCAGAAAAATTGTCTATCTCCCCTCCAACATCACCTAGATCTTTGGCTTCGTCAGGATCCTCAACCGTCTATTACGGCGAGATTGGACCTCAACCTCGGGTGACCTATTAGCCATGGCGAGGGAGACAGAAGAACCTGTGGCCTCATAGGAGGCAAACATGATAGCACAAGGAGAAAAATGGCCAAAAGAAGCATAAAGAGAAAGAACGTACGAGAAACAGTCCTCAAGGGCTTGAGGAACAAGACTCTGGCGACCAAAGAGGAAGACCATAGTTGTGGCGTAGGGATCCAAAAAAAAGGGAAAGAAAGGACAAGGAACGACCTTGACTTCTAAAATAATAAAAGCAGAAGGTTCAGAAGTGGAGTGACCACCTCGAATTCGTAGGATGTAAAGTTGAACAAGAACCCGAGGAGAGAGGAGGAAAGAAAGGGACAAAACAGAAAACGTAACTAAAAATTGGGGACGATCAACGGTGGAGAACCCAAGGGGGGTACTAGGGAATAATAAAGCAAGCTTTAGGAAGATCTCCAAATAATTTGAGCACTCACTGAGTTAGCCTAGACAGCAAGGAAAAGGAAGCAAATGAAATCGCAAAAGACTGAGAGAAAGAAGTTTTATGGGTCAAGGTGCCAAATAATTCGAAATAATGACAAAGACTGGAACAAGGGGTCTTTTGGTGGTTTAGTCCGCGAAAGGTCCATAAGTGTAGTAACCACCTCGAATTTGTAGGATTCGAAGTTGACCAAGAACCCTAGGAGAGAGAAGGAAAGAAAGGGGCAAAACAGAAAACATAATTAAAAATCAGGGATGATTAACGGTGGAGAACCCAAAGGGGCCACCAGGGAAGAATAGAGCAAGCTTTAGGAAGATCTACAAATAATCTGAGCACTCACTGAGTCAGCCTAGACAATAAGGAAGAGGAAGCAAATGAAATAGCAAAAAACAATAGAAAGAAGTTTTATGCGTAGAGGCGCCAAAGAATTCAAAATAATAAAAGAGACTGGAAACAGGGGGTCTTTTGGTGGTTTAGCTAGCGAAAGAATTTGTGGCACGCGTACAATTGGACTCGTGGCGCATAGATGCAGAACTTGTGCGATAAACGAGGCAAAATGACTCCTCACACACGTGCAACATCAAAAATCTTAAAAAACGTTCCATCATGTGACTCTTGAGTACAAATCGAGCTGAGTTGAACTTGTCTACCATAGCACAGATCAATTCCAATTCACGTCCGACAAGGCTCACCTGGCTAGAGATTGGGAGGCAACTGATGATACTAAAAATTAGCTAAGGTTAAACTCAAACCTCCTAGTTTAGACATTTAAACTCAGACCCCGCAGCTTATGATCACTAGCTCGAGGTGCATATGTAGGGAATCTTCAGTAGCATTGAGAGCTCGGTCTACTCAAGTCACTGCTTGGGCGCTTCCTCACGCTACCCAAGGTGCCACCATACCTGCCAGCATGTTTCTTGGAGCTGTCCATCGCACCTGAGTCACCACCATGGTCTGGAGGAAGAGACTCAGCAACTAGAGCGATATTTCCATCAATGGCCTTGCGAAATGAGGCTTGAACCATGCTTGAGATGGAGTCGGCCAAGCCCCTGGCGCCGTCCATGGGGATGGGACCCACTGCTTCTATGATGTTTTGGTTGTGTATGTTTGAAACCATAGTACAATAATTGGGAATATTGTGCATGTGTCTGCTTCTTATTAAATGATAATGTAATGCTTTTTTTCTGTTTTACGTCGATACAAAAACACAAGTTCTGAGGCTAGCGTTTGATATACATCTTGAAAAGAGTATGCATCCCTGTTTTATTTGGCTGAAGTATATGCCAGTCTTTAATAGTCTTATCTGTCAAAATCCAGCATTAAGTATAAAGGAAAAAATTAACTACGGCATTGGTTTTTCAATTTTTTATGATTCCATGCCTGCAAGAAATCACTCCTACACCCTTATAGCTCTGGATTAGATTTGCTGCCACCATTGTCATAATGCTCTCTCTCTCTCTCTCTCTCTGTTCACAAGGATCAATGTCCTCTTCACCTTTACAACAGAGGTGAATAACTGATCTTTTCACATTATAATTGTTAGTGTAAACATAAAAAATGACCCTGGAACTATATCCCCATTCTAAATTGCCACTTCAATTGTTTCGTAAAGTGTAACAGTTGGTCCCTTCTGTTCAATTTCACTGTTAAAACGATTTTTTCACTGAGACCTGAAGAATTGCTTTGCTTCTTGTTATTGAACTACTCGGTGACAACAATGGACCATTGCAGCTCATTCTGCTAGGAAGTAGGGCTACATTATTTTTTCAGATCTAAAACAAGCCATGTTTTTATTATCATGCCAAACGATTATGCAATCGACTATGATCTTTTAAATTACTTTGTGCAGGGCTGCTTGTCACCATCAGTTGCAAGTCTGCAAATGGAGGACTCGAGACACGAGTGGCTGGTGATGTCGATAAGAATGGGAAATTCAATGTATCTCTTATTCGAGTGATTTTACAAGATGGAGAATTGAAAGACGAATGCTTTGCACAGCTTCACAGTGCCTCAGGCGCCTTGTCCTGTCCGCGATTTCCAAAAGGCCTTGAAGTTAATCATCAAGTCCAAAGACAAAGGAAAACTAATACTAGGTCTGGATGGAAACATGAAATTCTCTCCAGCTACATGCACTTATGTTGTTTTTGTGGCCTTGTTTCAGTACCCACCATTGCCTAAGCTGCCACCATTACCAGGAACACCAATTGAATATCCTGAGTATCCGCCACCACCACCAGAGGTTCCTCCACCCACTCCAGTTTATGCAATGTCACCTCCACCACCAGCACGAGTATACAAGGAGTCACTTCCTCCATGAATCCCAACATATAAGAACTTAAACACCATCAGCAGTTCCAAAATCCATGAAAAAATCAGTCCCGCCGCCTGTTCCCATTTACAAGAAATTCTTCCCCCTCCCCCCAAAAATGCCACCTCCAGTATTTAAAAATCCATCTCCACCATCAGCTCCTATTTTCAAAATCCACTTCCTCCACCAATTCCAATACTCAAGAAGCCACTACGCACCACCAGTTCCATTTTTCAAAAAACCACTTTGTCCATCAGTTCCAACATCCAAAAAGCTAGTTCATCCACCAGGCCCTACTTACAGTAGCCTACCTCCTCCAGTGGCACCACCAATTTTTAAGAAGCTTCTCCTGCCACCGATGCCAGTTTATAACAAACCTCTTGCTCCATCACCATCACCATTCCAATCGCCAGCACCATTGCCAAATTATAAAAATCTCTTCCTCTACCAGTTCCAATATCCAAGAAACCACTTCCACCACCAATTCCTACTACTAAAAACAAGAAGAAAATAGACTTTTCCTGGCGTTTGTTAGCCGGCATTTACAAAAGTGTAGGGAAAAAGAGATATTTCATCTCGTTTTGCAGTAAGCGCTGAAATATTTGTGGACGTCACCGACGTTTGATTTAAACGTCTGTAAGTAGCTTTTAATTTTTTTTTCAAAAAAATGTGTGGCTTTGTTCGAGACATTTTTCTTTTCCTTTTCCATTTTCTTTTCTTTTTTACTTCATATTCCCCAAAACAGAACTTTGATTTCCAGTTTACTTTTCCCCAGATCACCTCTCTTCCAGCCAGCGTTCTTCCTCATCACCACCGCCAGCATCTCTTTATTGCCCAGCTGTCATAGATTTTGTTGTTGAATGATAGGTTGATGAAGTTCTATCGGAGAAGTGTGAGAGCGATCGTAAACTGAGGCGGCATATAAATTAACTGATTCGATTGCCATAAGCATCGCATTACATGTTGGTTGGCATCTTACTGAGTTCACTCACTCATACTCAACCAACGACTTGAAGTGAAAGACTCTCTCTCTCTGTGTCTCTCTCAATCGAGCTCTGTCGAGGAGTTAATCATTTTGTGAATTCCCTAAATTGTATCTTTTTTTTTTGTTTTTGTTTATGTCTATAGCTAACTAGAGAACAACATCACCGTAAGTCGTCAGACATGAATTTTCAGCTCTAGGTATAAGTGTCGCTGTGCTCCAGCATTGCAATTTGAAGATAATTGTTTACTTTTCTTGGCGGTTTAACTTTACTCACCAACTGTTATCTACCAATCTTGAAAACAGAGCACATTCTATTGTATGAAAATGTACAATAGGAGAGAACGAAGCTGTTGGCATTGTAGCAGGGCCATCGGATCTGCCCAAAATGGAGTCCAAAATGCGACTTCGTGCCTTGAGGTATAGTAATAGTTCTCTTCTTATTCAAATATACTGGTATGTTTATTGAAAATTTTTGTTAGAATTGTATTCTGATACAGTAGGTGTGTTGTGATGGAACAGAGTTCTCTTCTTATTCAAATATGTTGTTAGCTGTAGTAGATAACTACTTACTGTAATACTTGACCATCATTACAATACTCATGCTTATATTGTTGTGTTTTTTTGGTTTCATGTTGTGTAGAACAAGCCATTCCTTTGGATGACAGCATTAAGTAATTTATGATTTGGTATTGGATGTTGTCATTTGATATGATTTTGGGTAAGGTTCGTGTTTCGTGGAGACCATACACATTTGGTAGAGGACAAAAAACAGGACAGATTTTACTTTGAACTGGCAGAGGAGAAAAAGAGGAGCTCCCAAGGGTGGAAAAGGGAATGAAGTCAATGTCATGAGATGGAACAGAGCAGTTATGTGCGCTGGAGATGATTTATTTGATCCATGCAGTTTGTTTGCAGCACGTCATCTAAAGTGGTTACAGATTGATGTTGATGTGCAGCCATTCCAAGTTGAAAAAGCTTTATTTTGCTACTGAGCTTTATTTTGAAACATCAAAAACGGAATTCAGAGGTTAATTAGATGAGGGAAAATGCCTCCTTTCTAGGTGGGTGGACAGGAAATTGCGTAGAATGGAAGGTAGTACGAAACTTCCATCCACCAGTCTGAAGATTAAGGATGAATGGGAGCAAGAAAAAGGAAGGTGATTTTTGATATTGGATGTTGTCATTTGATATGATTTTTGGTAAGGTTTGTGTTTCCTGGAGCCTACACACATTTGGGATAAGATTTTGAGACTTCTAATGGGCATGGACTTAAAGAATTGGCAAATTTGTTGGGAAGTCAACTCTGCTGTAGATTATATAGCAAATAAAGGAGTGGAGCTACAGGTTGCAAGCTTTCAAGCTTACCACTTATGGTTGGAATGCTTATCTCTGAGGATCGGCTACAGGTTGCAAACTTGCTGAAGAGATCCTCATAGATTCTGGTCTTTTTTTGGTTATTTTTCTTCATAGATCTGCACCTACAGATTGTAAACAAATCTTTTCTCCTTAGATTTTCATCTACAAATTGTAAACGAAGCATTCTTTGTCCTTTTTTTTTTTTTTCCTTTTCACCGGTGTTTGTCTCTGGAATAAGCATCGGTTTTCTATCACCAGCGTTTAGCTAAATGCTGGTACCTTTGCCGACGCTGTTTTAGACGGCGGTTGTTCGAAACGCCGGGAATCAGCAATTTTTTGGCTTTTTTCTGGCATTTGTCAAACGCCGGAATCATTGTTTTTCTTGTAGTGAAGCCGGCACCAGCATATAAATAGACATTTCCTCGACCACCAATTATTAATCAGCCACCTCCTTCACCAACACCAAAATATAACAGTTCCTTTCCACTAGCTTTGCAGCACACAAGAAACCATTTCCACCTGGACCACCAACTTATGGACCACGCCCCCCAGTCAAAAAGGCTACTCCACCTATCCAATGACAGATGCTCCACCACCTCCAACATTCATCCTAATTCTACTTGAAGATGCTTCATCTTTCAAATTGAAATGAGGAGTTTCTTTTTTTTTTATTTTCTTCTTTTAGTATCTGGAAAACAATCGGGTGTTGAAGCCAGAAAAAGAAGCGAACAAGAAAGTGGGTGTGGATTGTTATTGTAATATGTTGAGTCTTTTGACTTGACATTTATTAATTGTTTCAAGTGAGCATCCTTACTGTGAAAAACTTGAAATTAAATTGATTGGTAGTGATGATACCTCAAACAAGTTCTACCTATAAGGTCAGGTCAAGAGGTCGGGTCAGGAGGTTGGGAAAGACATGAGGAACTCAGAGAACTAGGGGTGGAGTTTCCCTTGGGGAGATCGTAACTGAATCGACCATGAAACAGCTGGGTGACTGCGGGAATTGGGCTCCATGTATGAAACTCTCAATCAACTAAGATTCTCTCCTAAAATCAAGGAAGATCTCATGAATAATGGGCAAAGATATTGGCTGAAATTCCATAGAATAGGGGTAGCCTTATAAATATTATGCAACGCCTCATCGTGAGGCGGACGGAAGAGAGAAAAACCCTAATTAGTTTAGCATTGTCTTGTATTACATTCAACCAGTCAATAGAGAAAAAAAAAAGAGCAAGAACCTCCATTGAAAAGTAGACTAGCCAAGCTCTTGAGTCGGTGAACCACTATATTTTCACTGTGTACACCCCTCAAATCCCCTCAATATTTCATTGTAGCATAATACACGAATCTTGCAGCTCTGATCTATGCTTATCTCACGTTACTAGCTCTTTTTACTCATCTACGTTGATTTATGCCATCAGTTTGGCGCCATGAACGACTGTTCCTGTTACAAATAAGCTGATCTTTCAGTGACTAATGGTGTCAACACGAAACATGAGCAGAAGCTCGATAACGTCCTAGAGACAGATCCTCCCATGGGGAATCCCCCTACAAATAACGAGATAGAGGCTCTTCGCCTCGTCAATCAGTGCTTGATAAAACAAAACAAGGAGCTATTGCAGCGCCCACAGGAGGCACGTCCGGCCCAAGAAGATCAGAACAGTCCCCACTACAGGGACCAATAACACCTTGATCCACTCAGAGAAGACAACGAAGGGGGGGAGAACAGCCAGACCTTGGGGCAGGTTCCCCAACTACCCCTAAGAATGGCCACAATGAAGAAGTACAAAGTCAAAACCTTGAAGGTGAAAAGAATGATGTCTTCCCTTATCAGCAGAAGAGAAGGGAGCAATATTGGGAGCAGCGCTTCAAGGGCATCCAGCAGGAGCTCAGCCACATGAAGGAATCGATCATGAGTAAAGCTCCAGTTACAATGGACGCCTTGGTGCAGCAGACTGAATCTCCATTCACGCCTGGGGTGTTGCATTTTCCCCTCCCACCAAAGTTCAGGATGCCTCAAATAGAGTCCTTTGATGGAACCAGGGACCCCATGGACAACCTCAATACTTATAAGAACCAGATGGAATTACACGGGTATCAGTATCTTGTACGTTGTCGAGCCTTTGTCATCACTTTGAAGGGTTCTGCCTTGGCGTGGTTTAACAGGCTCCCCCCAGCCTCAATCTTTTCCTTTAAAGAACTTTCCATTTCCTTCATATTCCACTTCATAGGAGCTCGAACCTATAAAAAGCCGAGCTATCACCTTTTGAATGTGAAACAAGGACCACAAAAAAATCTCAGGTCGTATGTCCAAAGATTTAATTCAGAGTCATTAAAGGTGGATGTCCCAGACGAAAAGTTCGTCATCATTGCCTTCATAGCTGGTCTAGGGGTGCAGTCTAAAGATTTGATATTTTTATATCAAAAAATCTCCAAGTAAGCATGGGCGAGGTGTTTGCCAAAGCGGAGAAATACATAAACGACGAAGAAGCTCTTCTTTTTAAGGTAAGGAGCTCTTCCGCACATAGAGACAAGGGAAATGAAGAGAAAAAGAGGAATAGAAGTCCCAGGAGAGAGAGGGAAAGAAACAGATCTCCTAGAAGAGACAAAGAGCGATCCCCAAAAAGAAGGGGGAACGTTAGGGACCGCTTAGGCCCCCGCAGCCTGAACTACAGTCGAGGTATGCATCTCAGTAATATACCCCTCTCATTGCGACTGTATCCCAGATCCTATACGAAGTGCAGAACGAGAAATTCCAAAGGTGGCCTCCACGAATGAAGGCGGATCTGTCTAAAAGAGACCCTACAAAATATTACGAGTATCATAGGGATTATGGTCATCATACCGACGATTGCATCCAGCTAAAGAAGGAGATCGAGTTCTTGATCCAGAGGAGATAGTTACGACGATTTATCGCCCATGACAACCAAGACAAGGCTCCGGCACCTCATCAACAAGCCCCTGCGCAGCACCAGCAACCCTTAGGGAAGATCAGAGTGATATCTGGAGGATTTGCTGGTGGTGGAAAATCCAGTGCAGCCAAGAAAGCACACCTACGCAGAATCAGAGCTGGAGAAGCGTTGAAAGTACACACCGTGTCCAAAATACGTCGGCTAAGCATAACCATCACTTTCTCAGATTCAGACTTGGAAGGCTATCAGTATCCCCATGATGACCTATTGGTCGTAAGGGCCATTGTGGCAAACCAAACTATTCATCGAGTTCTAATTGACAATGGGAGCTCGGCCGACATCATTTTCGCCTCTGCTTTTAACAAAATGGGCGTAGGAAGGGAGAAGCTTGAGCCAGTGAATGCTTACTTGAAGGGGTTCTCAGGGGAGATGGTGCTACCCCTGGGTTCCATCCAACTCGTGTTCACTTTGAGGGACCCTCCTTGTCAAGCCACCACCACTGTGAAAAACCTGATAGTTGACGCCCTTTCTGCATACAATATACTACTTGGGAGATCATCCCTCAACACAATAAAGGCTATCTCCTCAGCATATCACCTGGTCGTAAAATTTTCTACAGAAAATGGAGTTAGAATGGTCCGAGTAGACCAGTGAATAGCCAGGGAGTGCTACATGGCCTCAGTGAAGCAAAAAGAGGTTGAAATTATCCAGCTAGATGAGCTTGACATGAGGGACGAGCTGGACACTAGACCCATACCGTCAGAAGAGCTAGAGCCAGTCCAGCTCGATGAGGAGCTTGAATATGTTGTTTACGTGGGATCTAAGTTTGAGCAAAGAAATGAAAGACCTACTCACCCAGTTCCTGAGGAAGAACATGAGGGTGTTCGCTTGGAAGCAAGAGGACATGGAAAGCATTGGCCCCTCAATCATCACAAACAAGCTAAGCGTGAATCCCATTTGCAAACTTGTTAAACAAAAGCGGAGAAGTTTTGCTCCGGAACTCCAGAAAGCAATTAACGAGGAGGTCAGTAAACTCCTCCACGCCAAAACCATCAGAGAGGTGGACTACCCTACCTGGTTGTTGAATGTGGTGCTGATCAAGAAGACAAATGAAAAATGACGACTCTGCATTGATTTCACTAATCTTAATCGAGCATGCCCCAAGGACAGCTTTCTCTTAAATCGAATCGACTTGATCGTGGATGCAACTGCTGAACATGAGCTCCTCAGCTTCATGGATGCTTTCTCAGGTTATAATCAGATCAGGATGGAACTGACGGACTAGGAGAAGACTTCATTTGTGACTGAACAGGGAACTTACTGCTACTAGATCATGCCTTTTGTATTGAAGAATGTTGGAGCCACCTATCAGCGCCTAGTGAATAGAATGTTCCAGAAGCAAATTGGGACATCCATAGAGGTCTATATCGATGACATGTTGGTAAAATCACTGAAGGCAAAGCTGCACAACGAGCACCTAGCAGAATTGTTCCAAAATCCTTAAGGAGTACAAGATGAGACTCAACCCTGTAAAATGCGCTTTTAGAGTATCAGCAAGGAAGTTCTTGGGATTCATAGTCAACAACAGAGGAATCGAAGCTAACCCAGAAAAGGTTAAGGCAGTACTGGATATGCGACCACCGTCCAACATCAGGGAGATCCAATGCCTGATAGGAAGGATAGCCGCCTTGAGTCGTTTTGTATCCAAAGCAAGTGACAAGTGTCAACCTTTCTTTCAGGTGTTGAAGAAGGTTTTTCAGTGGGATACTCGGTGTGAGGAAGCGTTCAAAGCACTGAAGGAGTACCTAAGCTCTCCCCCTGTCTTGATAAGCCTCTTAGAAGGAGAAATGCTTACTCTTTATTTAACTGTCTCGGATTTCTCAACCAGCGCAACACTAGTTAGGGAGCGAGACAGAGCTCAGCAACCAGTATACTACTGTAATAGAACTCTGAGGGGGGCAGAGGAGAGATATCCAAAGATGGAGAAGTTAGTTTTGGCCTTGGTGACTACGGCTAGGAGACTTAGACCATATTTCTAGGCTCATACTATCGAGGTTCCAACATATCAGCCAATGAAGCAAGTGTTGCATAAACCAGAATCTTCAGAAAGGCTAGTTAAGTGGGCAATAAAGCTCAGCGAGTTTGATGTTAGGTATAAGTCAAGGACTATGATCAAAGGACAAATTTTAACAAATTTCATCGCAGAATTTACTGTAGTAACCCGCAAAAGCCACATTGCTGATACCTGACCTTCCCGTATGGAAACTTTCGGTAAA